AGAAGGAGCCGGGGTGGGGGTGGGGTGGGGGGCAGAGAAGGTTTTGGAGATACGGCCCAGAGCACACCGCCGCCTGGAGCGGCCGGAGCGCGGTGATTTCGCGTCTTTCTCTCCGATCTCCAGGCGACCCCACCGACTCTGGGCAGAAGTACCTCTCCCCTGCTCCGCCTGCCGCGGTACTTCGGGGTTCCATGGGCTCCAAAGCGCCAGGCGCTAGGACCCCGCGGGGAGCGGAGGGAAGGGGAGGCGGCCGAGGCCGGGAGCCTGGTGGACTCGTCCGGTCTGACCGCCTGGGCTGGAAAACTTTTTCTTTTTAATTACTTCTAGCCGCGGCGCTAGGATTGCTAAGCGCGCGGGGCTGGCGCAGCTTACCCCGCGCGGGGCCGCCAACTTTTTTCCAGTGCGACGGGTGGAGCTGGATTCCGGGGCTGGGGTGTCGGGACGCGGGGGAGCGCACTGAAGGAGAGGCGAACTTGCCTCCGGAACGGGGATCCCGAAGCGGGCTGGCTGTCAGGGGGGTTGGATCCCCCTGCCTTCTCCCCTACTCCCTATTGGGGTGGGCGCCAAGGCGGGAGCAGGGGTGTCGAGGGAGCCCGAGCTGCGGAGTCTCGGAGGCCTGGGGTCTGAGCACCTACTGGGAGAACTTTGCTATGTGGTTTGCAGGGCGCTGAGTTCCCCGAGGTCCTGGGGAGCAAGGCGGCCCGGCCCGGTGCCCCCGGTCGCCGCGCGGCCTCGGCACTCAGTGCCGCGGGAGGAAGGGGTTTAGGGCTGCGCGCTTCCCCAGGCACGTGGAGCCTCGCGCGTTCTGTATGGGGATCAGGGGACAGCAGGGCTCGCAGGGGGCCTCATGGGGCCGAAAGTCGCTCTCGCCACCACCCTCCTCCCCCACCGCCCTTTCGACTTCGTGCTCTGGAGTTCTGCGCTGCCTGGAGGTTGGCTGGAGGTGTGCCTGCCTGAGAAGCGCCGGCTGCGCTTTCAAGACCCTCTCCCAGACAGCAGCCTTCCCAGGCTTGGCCAGGCGCCACAACCCGCCCAGGAGCCCTCAAGGCCAGCGCAAAAAACACCGCCTGCTTTCCACTGTGGTCACAGTAAAGAAGCAATTTGTGCTTTAATCAAGTTCCTATTCAACATATTTTCAATGATTAATGACCCAACTGCTTCATTTCTTAGTCCAGACCTCAGACACAAAATATTTTTAGCTTGATGTTTTTGAACCCGGAGTAAAAGTAGATGCATTAAATAAATAACCTAGGTGAGCGGTGGAGCTGCTCCCTTGGCCAGGTGCAGGGACCTGTTCATACCAGCACCTGTGGAGCCTGCAGGGAAACAGGGTGGGATTTTCAGTTTTTCTGCAGTGCTAAGAAAAGTGGCAGTCTCCATGTAGGAACAAAGCAAAGGCTACTGGCAGTGTCCTGTTCATAGTGTCTACAGCTGGTTTCCTGCCGGGGTTACAGCAGGAATGTTTCACCGTAGGATGGGAGGGAATCTCAGAGACTCCCAGGGCTGGGGGAGCAATGGAATCAGGCCTTGTCAATAGGGTATGTGAGGGTGAGAGAGTCACCTAAGGGTGCCCACACCCAGGATCACAGGTCCTTCCACAGCAGAACCAGAATTCTCCCACAAGGCCAGCTCTGTGCAAGGTGCTTAGTGCCCAGAGATGAGTGAGAAGTGGCCTCTGCCCTCTTGGAGCTCAGGACACAGTTGGAGAAACAGATCATCACAGTCTGCTGGGAGACAAGGGACTCCTCACAAGAGGAGGTGACACTGAAAGAGCAGGGGATTGGACTGGGCAGAGGGACTTTGTCCATTAATTCATCAAAGGCCTGTTAGGAGTCACAAATGGGGATGAAGGATTGATGTACTGTGTTATCACACCCTGCCAGATGAATATGGGGCTCTGGAGGAGTGATCAACAAATTTTGTTTGGAGAGGTGGTATGGGCTAAATTGTGCCCCCCCCCCCC